TGAGCAAATGATGTCAGAATATATATTTGTGGGTGAACTATGCCTTTAAATTGGAGAATAAAAGCATACCTGTATAATATATAGGCCTAAATATTTCAAAACAATTTGCATAATTTGCATATTCTAAATTCCGTAGTATATGACAATGGCTAAAAATGAAGCTTAATGTCTCCCACCCAAGTAAGACATTCATAGGCTGAGAGTTGTTTCAAAAAACATCACTGCTTGAGCATCTCGACCAGTCTGGCAAAGCAACATTGGCTAAACCAAGAGTATGAGTTTAGGGCAGCACTATCTGTTTGTTCCAACAATGGTAGACATTAGTTTCGCACTTCTGTTTAGTGCAGTTAAAATATGTGTCACTACATAGCCCTATGGTAAAACTGTTTTTCGATACTGGCAAAGAGGAGCAATGGCGTCCCATATGTGGAAGCACTAACTTGGATTGAAATTAACCCTACGTGCACTGCAGCAAAATAACCATACTTTATGTGGTTCTGCCGGCGGCTCTTCATATCCGCCTTGCATCAGTGCCTCTGCAGTAACGGACACTCACTGGCCCTGAGGTAGTGTGTATATATACAGTAGCTTGATTATCTCCATGTCCATGCTGGAAGTGCAGTGGAGGCCTGGGGCTCTAACACCACTCTGCATGGAGCCTGTCCATACAAGCCTTCTAGCCCTGACCCAGCAAGAGGGCTCCGTTTCTGCCCGTGACAGTGTGTGTGATTCAGGTACTTTGCCGCTTCATTAACGGGCTTCCTTTGGGACACCCTGATGGGGTGAGAGAAGCTAGAAGACCAGGGTACCAGTAGAGTAGTGCAGATGTGAATAAAAATGAAGCTTAATGTCTCCCACCCAAGTAAGACATTCATAGGCTGAGAGTTGTTTCAAAAAACATCACTGCTTGAGCATCTCGACCAGTCTGGCAAAGCAACATTGGCTAAACCAAGAGTATGAGTTTAGGGCAGCACTATCTGTTTGTTCCAACAATGGTAGACATTAGTTTCGCACTTCTGTTTAGTGCAGTTAAAATATGTGTCACTACATAGCCCTATGGTAAAACTGTTTTTCGATACTGGCAAAGAGGAGCAATGGCGTCCCATATGTGGAAGCACTAACTTGGATTGAAATTAACCCTACGTGCACTGCAGCAAAATAACCATACTTTATGTGGTTCTGCCGGCGGCTCTTCATATCCGCCTTGCATCAGTGCCTCTGCAGTAACGGACACTCACTGGCCCTGAGGTAGTGTGTATATATACAGTAGCTTGATTATCTCCATGTCCATGCTGGAAGTGCAGTGGAGGCCTGGGGCTCTAACACCACTCTGCATGGAGCCTGTCCATACAAGCCTTCTAGCCCTGACCCAGCAAGAGGGCTCCGTTTCTGCCCGTGACAGTGTGCGTGATTCAGGTACTTTGCCGCTTCATTAACGGGCTTCCTTTGGGACACCCAGATGGGGTGAGAGAAGCTAGAAGATCAGGGTACCAGTAGAGTAGTGCAGATGTGAACAGAACGAATTGGCAGAAAAAAAATACACAACAACTGAATGACTCTCATAAAGCAGGTATTGTTGCAACATTATTGTTTTTCAGTAATCTGTCTCAGCCAGTGATCTCCTGTAATCTTCCTCTGCCTACTTTCAACTGACTCGAGCAGTGAGGATGCTACGTGAGACGTCTGAAGCATCACAAAGAAACAGGAAAAGCAAAAATACAGGCACGTACATCCGTTTTGATTTGGGGAGGTGAGGGAGGGGGTAAATTAAACTAGAGCGTCCTTTTTACTGTTTCCCATGGGGGTCCCGCTTTAGCTCTGAGAACTCTCTCCCTCATCCCCAAACCCACCCCCTTCCCATCTATCCCTACCCTCCCCCAAGCTCCTCTTTCTCTGTGTGAGTCTCTCTCATGACATATGGGCTCTCCTCTGCAGCGGCAGCACTGGGAAGCGGCGTTTATTGTGCAGCATTCTCTCAGCAGCCATGCCAACGGCGGCAGAACGAGCAGGAATACCCTCCGCTATCTAGTCAGAAGCAGCCTGCTCTTCTAACCACGGGCTACATGAGGATTTATTTTAAGAGTTGGTGCCAATAGTTTAATTGCCGACAGAGCGTTCTATTCGCAAATGAACAATGTGTGCCGTCTCTTCTGCTGAACAACTAGCAATGCATGTATCTACAGTCATCACATCATATAAACACATTGCTAACACTGGTTGCGTACTGTTTGGTTAACTGAGAAATCTGACCATAATTCGGCTGAGTGATTTTTTAAGGGATAGTTCAGCTAACAACGAAAATTCTTTGATCATTTACACACCCTCATGTCATTCCAAATGACTTTTTCTTGTGATGAACACAAAAGAAGATATTATGAAGAATGTTGGTAACCAAACCATTTTGGTGACTTCCATTTTACACATAAAAAAAACCCAGAGACATTTTTCAAAAAATGTACAACAGTCAGTTGTACAGTTTTGAAATGACAGAGAGTGAGTAAATAATGACAGAATTGTCATTTTTGGGTGAACCACCCCTTTAAGACCCCATGAAATGGCTTGATTGCAGTATATTTTCCTGGGACAACGTATTTTTGTGTTGAAATAGAAAGTTGGGGCAAGACATATTGAGGGGTTGATTATCTGACTATTTTTGAATAGCCAAAACCTTTTAGTTTCCACCACAGCTATGAACCATGATCTTCTAACAGCTGTTGCTAGGCAGAAGCAGGTGGTCAGGGAGATTCTTATTGGACAAAAATGCAGAGACTACCATGAGTGCAAGGTGAGTCATCAATATTTTTTGGCTCATTTTCTCACAAAAAAAAAGAAGCTCTGTCAGAGTATGTACTGAAATAATGTACTGAACGTAGATGAACCTCAACTGTTGATGAATTGTGTTCTTCAAGTATGCAGGTCTATAGAATGCGTATTCGTATATTCCTAGATATACGACACCCACCATGTTGGCACTCTCCTTTCACCTGTATTTTATTTGACTTGTAACATACTAACAGCAATCACAAAAATCATTACTTGATTATTGTTAAATACAACTTTCCTGGTATCTCTAGCACTTGAAAAGATCCACCAGCCTCACGTTTCTCAATTTTTCAAATCTGACAGCTCCTCAGCTACCATGGACTTCTGGGATAGCAAAGTGTCTACACTTCAGAATCTCAGTGGACACGGTACACCATCCACAAATGATTTGCCTACTGTTAACAGACATGTGTATTCAGACATCCTACTGATTCAGTGTACTAGTTTAGTAGTATATTTGGACACATTAAAGGGTTACTCCACCCCAAAATGAAAATTGTGTCATTAATCACTTACCCCCATGTCGTTCCAAAATCGCTTACCCCCATGTTGTTCCAAACCCGTAAAAGCTTCGTTCGTCTTCGGAACACAGTTTAAGATATTTTGGATGAAAATCGGGAGGCTTGTGACTGTCCCATTGACTGCCAAGTAAATTACACTGTCAAGGCCCAGAAAAGTATGAAAGACATCGTCAACATAGTCCATCTGCCATCAGTGGTTCAATCTGAATTTTATGAAGCGACGAGAATACTTTTGTACGCAAAGACAACACAAACAAAAACAAAAATAATGACTTTATTCAACAATTCGTCTCCTCCGCGTCACCGTAGCAACATTTTGGAGAGTATCCACTGAACGCAAACTGTGTATGCTGTTCTACTTGTCTGTGTCAGCCGCACCACACGGATAAATTTTCTAAGTTTATTTACGCTTTGACTTGAACGAAAACAGCGTATCCGTGTGGTGCGGCTGACACAGAACAGCATACGCAGTTTGCGTTCAGTGGATACTCTCCAAAATGTTGCTACAGTGACGCATGACATGGGGGTAAGTGATTAATGACAACATTTTCATTTTGGGGTCAAGTAACCCTTTAAGAGACTGCAAATTTTAGACATTGAAAGTAAATTTTGACGTGAAATGACCATATACATGGCTTTTTGTCAACAACTCATCTGAATGCCAAAGTTATGACTGAAAAAAGTTCAGCTATGCTGGTTATGTTTAACAGGAAACATGAGAACTTGAAGACCTGACTACCAACTCTGGCCTCAATGTTCTTCAAAGCACAGTCAATCTATACTCTAACAGTTGCAGTTCATGTGTTGCATAACAGCTGCAGGCACTTGACTTGGATCCGTCTGGCCAGGGATATTGACTCAATAACTGTTCTCTACCAAAGCCACACCAGAAGAAGCCACTGGCCACAGAACATTGGGAACAAAAAAAATTGCCGCCAGATCAATACTTCTTCCACACTCCCATGTCATACAGCCATTCTCAGCTATAAGACGACATGAACATAAGAATAACCTTTTTGTCATGCATTGTGTGGTCATATAAACTTGGATGATTATGGTATTGATTTTTACAACAGCACAAATCAGCAAACAGCCTTTCAGTGGCCTGTAGCAGAACTAAAGCAAGACTGCTTTCCCTTATACCTCAAACTTCAGCACTATATTTCAGCACCACCGGGACTGCAGAGAGAATCGGGTTGGACACATGGTGCACTACGGATGCAGCAAAACTGTCCCATCAGCAGCATCCGAGGGCCACCTGTTCCCTGATGTCAAACATTCAATTCTAGATCTTGCACAAGACAAATGGATTCAGCAGTGGGACCTGCAAGTGCAACCACATCCCGTTGTCTGACAAATCTGGATTAAAGGCATTAGCCAGAAGCAAAGCGGAGCCGCAAAGCCAAACTGTCATTTGCGATGACCAAGTTCCTTTTACAGGATGGAAATACAAACGCTTGCCAACTTGTTCCACCCAAAAAGCATTCTGCAACTGATAAGATCTCACCGGATGGTCAGAAAAGTAGGCTAAGGTCCTTAATCTGCGGAATACCTCTCTACACAATGGCATGTCAGCAAACGCACACGCATCATATTTACTGAGCAGCGGTGATAGCGCGTGTCATCATCCCCGACCTCAAGCACAAAAGGACAAACCTGTCTGTCCTTTGCCGAGCGTCTTTTCCAGGCGATACGGTCCCACGTAATTCGCATGCTGAGAGCTGTTGTCTTTTCCCGACGATGACATTTTGCTTTACACGGACGAAGTTCTGATGCCAACAAATTTCTGCAGTTCGGCAATTAAGTATTTCTTCAGTACCGCAGTTATTTCCCCGCCCAGCTCTTGCTCCAGACGCTGCCTCTCTCTCTCGCTTGAGGATCGGTGGGGCTGCTGCTCTCCTCCGCGTCTCCCTTTCTCTCTCTGCTGCCGAGCGCTCTGATAATCTCACAGCAGTGTGTGTGTGTGTGTGTGTGTGTGTGTGTGTGTGTGCGCTCGCGCG